AGAGAGAGAGAGAGAGAGAGAGAGAGAGAGAGAGAGAGAGAGAGAGAGAGAGAGAGAGAGAGAGAGAGAGAGAAGAGAAGAGAGAGAGAAGGAGAGAGAGAGAGAGAGAAACTCTCAAAAATTCTTAACAGCTGTCATATATGAGAGTCTTTGTTTCGTTTTATTATTATTTCTTTTAAATCTTCTATATTCTCCGCCACACAGTAATTAACTGTGAAATTTCGACTATGTAATTCATATATAATAATTCACAAATTCTGTGGCGGGTCAGGCACTGAGATTGACTTTATAATTTGAACCGAACTTGATCAAACGAGGCGATTAACGACAGTCATGCATACGTTTGTTTTATCACGGTTATTTTGGTTAATCGAAAGATTTTCAAGGAATAGCATCGTGTATACAATAAAAAGATTTCTTTTTAATGATATGACCCGCGAAAAGTCAGAAATCGTTTCACGAATGGTGGATGCAATGACGTTATAGTTTGTACGTCTTTTCACGTTTTAAGGTCTGTTCTAAAACATCTGCCGATCCCTCCTTTGCATCGTTTAATCGACTAAAAAAAAAAAAAGAAAAAAAAAAAAAAAAAAAAAAAGAAAAAAAATAAAATGACTCAACTCTCTGACACGACACATTACGACGATCACGTTACTTCCTTCTAAGGATGACATGCAGCGTATAAAACATATCATATCTATGTATTTATTTTTTACTGCTTTTTTCCTTTTTTGTTAATATATATATATATATTTTTTTATATATTTGCATTTGTATTTATATATATATATGTATATCTAGTTCCTTCATTCCGGTATTCTGTTTACACGCTATATATTAAATATATACGCGATGTACGTTCTTATATCCTAGCAAGGATTAACAATCTATGTTTTACTCGACGCAACGATACGCGAATTACGTACATTACATGGCTGGTTCCTTGAAATTCATCAAAATAACGAGAAGGAGAGAAACGGAGTACATATGGACTCTATTGCACTTCGGGATGGACCGTCATAATTATTATTATTTTTTTTTTTCATAAACGTTTTTTTATTTTTATCATCGAGCATTCCAGATGACACATAAAATTTCGTCGTTGATTATCTATTGCAAAAAAATACGGGTGGATGGTGTTCTCGTATCAACGCAATGTTTTTAGATATTTAAAACATCCATTAGAAAACCCGAATATTTATAAGAACTTTCTCTTGAAAATTCTAACTCTTTGTTTCTTCTTCTATATACGCGAATGATCGAAATTTCTTCCATTGATTTTAATACATATACGCTTTGTCATCCTGGGATCCAGACTTCCAAACGATTAAACATCGTGTCAAATTTTAATTCTTTTTTTCTTTTTCTTTTTTTTTTTTTTTTTTTTTTTTTTTTTTTTACTAAAGACAGACATTACATTTTGTCACATCACGATTTTCTTTTTTTCCTTATTTTGCGATTTCGAAATCAACTCCTTCTTCTTTCTTTCTTTTTTTTTTCTTTTTTTTTGTATATATTATATATATATCCGTAGTTTAAAAATCAAGGAACAAACAAATTTCTTCGTATTGGCTCATCTACAACGCAAGCCACAGACTTATATACGCTCGCGGTTTTCGTATTGCCATCATATCATAAACCTAGACTTAAAAAGTAAGAATTGGCCAGTAAATCGATCACTGGGACCAAATAAATCGATTATTTAACGTATCAACGCTTTAAATCGTTTTATCAGTCTGTGCTCTCCTAATCCATGACGAATTACAATATGAGAGAAAGAAAAAAAAAAAAAATTAAACAAACAAAAAGATATAAAAACAAGAAGAAAGAAAAAAAGATGTATGATATGGATGTCTGGGTCGTTGGAAGATAGAATATAATATAGTTTGAGACTCGACTAAACGTGATCCGCGAACACAGTCAGTTGTCCATCTATCCACCAATATTCACGAGTTCTCGTCAAAAATGCATCATCAAACAGCAATTAAATGGGAGCTTCAAACACAACGAACTCATCATTTTTGTCTCTCTTTCTCTCCTTTCTTTTTCTTCTTCTTCTTCTTCTTCTTCCTCTTCATTCTCTTCATCATTTTATCATTTCTTTTTGACTTTCTCCTAGAAAAAAGAGAAGTCAATAACCGCGTTGCATTTTTCATTATATTTTTCATTTCCGTTCTCGCATTATGTTGCTCGCATTATGTATACGCGCGTCTCGCATAAAAAAGAAAAATAATTTTATAGGTATCGCGGTTTGATCAGTCGCGCATCTGAGATCGTGATATTCGTTTAATAGACGAGAAGAGGAAAAAAATGTTTTTTCAAACTTCCCGTATATCGTCCATTTTTCACGAACAATTATTAGATATCGAACAATTAGTCGAAATGAAGGTCGGGATATAATTGTTCTACGATTTTGCGATGAGATTCAAAAAAATCTGCAATCATCTCTACAATTCTCTTGTACCTTCTTCCCTTTTCTTTCTGTCTCTCTCCTTTTTTTCAATTCTTTTTTTTATTATACTATTTTTTCTTTTTCTTTTCTTTTCTTTTTTTTAACCACATTTTCTCTCCATCGAGAATTACTTTTTTTTTTTTTTTCTTATCAATAACATTATAATAGGCAGTGTTCGTTTGAGAAACTGCTACAGAAACACACACGCACACGCACACAAACATACGCGCATGCGCACGCACGCGAGCGCGCGCACATACACACACACGATAGAAATTGAATGCCTAGAATAATAGCACGACCTTTATACGTAGCTTGAAACACGTTCAACGCGACGACGGTTTCCTTTCTTTCCTTTTTCTTTTAATTGTTAATCCTTTCTGAATTCGAGAAAAGTATGATCACTGGACGCATGTTGTATGCGGTTTATCATCCGGAACGGATTGCGCGTTTTTTCTTTTTTTTTTCTTTTCTTTGACGATTAACGTTTACATTTAGCAGAAGAGAGAATGCGTCGTACTAAAAAAATATATGTATATATGTATATATATAATACATACATATACGTATGTATACGTGCCTATCGGTTTGTTTCACGTGGAACATCCAACCGCGAAAATTTCAGGCTCGCGATCGATACGCGTACGATCGTGTGTTAGCCCGCATACGAGCGGATTGTGTCGCTTATTATGAAAGAGAAAAAGAAAAAGAAAAAGAAAAAGAAAAAAAAAGGAACGAAATGCCCGCAATTTATCGCGCGCATCGTCATCTTTTTCTTCATCATTTTCTTTGTCATTAATTTTTAATATTTGTCGTCCCGTATCTTTTCCTCGTTTTTTTTTTTTTCCTTAAGAAATCGATGTGATCGGAACGAAACGAAACGATCGGAACTCGAAAATTTTCTTTCCTTTTCGTTAAACGATCATTACATTCGTGACGAAACGACGACGATAATTAGCAAAGCATGTACTATAAAAGAAATGAATAGAGTTCTAAAAATGATATCACTGTAGACCGCGACACCGGTGATAGAAACAGTTTTTATAGTGAGCGGTAGTAGCAGCGACACATTAATAACAATTGCAGCAACAGCTGGTGGTTTTGTGTGTGTATGTATATATATATATGTATATATATGTATGTATATATATATACATATATATACATATATATATATAGATGATGACGTACTGTTCTTTTGTACTCGTTGCGTGTGTTGCGAGTCGAATTGGTATATCTATCGAAGGTTTCGCGATTCCATTCACGACGAGGCTTATTCTCACTGTTGATGACAGGCGACCAGAGTCTCGGTCTGGAAGCCGGAAGAGAGAAGGTCCCACGATCGCCGTGAATCGGCGACCATCGAAATTAAAAGTCCACCGGTAGTGTGGTACATCGGACGATTTGCATCAGAGTCATTTTTATGCGAATCACAGAATGACGCAGCATCGGCAGTATCGCTGCCGAGATGCCCCCGCGCTTGGGGGTGGTGTCACTGGCGCGAAGTACGCATGAACTTTAATGTTCGGCAAATGTGTCTGAAATGAAACAAAACGGATAGTTGGTTAACGAGAGTTACGGACGTTAAATTGATTTAGATCTTTACGACGATTCTTCGACACGTCACTCGACTTATCTTAACAGCATTTTTCGTTTTATCGTAGATAAATAGATAATGAAAGAAGAAATGATGTTACGATACGATACTCTGAGTCTACGTATGCCAGCTCTGGTGATTAGTTGACAATCGTATAGTTCGATGCGCTCGAGATTATGGCAGGCCTGTAGAAGGTGATCAAGGCTAGCATCTGTGATAAGGGGACAATTGTCCAATTCCAACACCGCTAGATGCTCCGCTGCGCACGGCGAAAGGGCCAATTGCCGAATGCCCTCATCGGTGATCAATTCACAGTGAGACAAACTCTGGGTTCAAAGAAAGTCATCATATTCGATGGATGAATTTCTTCGTTGTCTTAAAGGATATGTATACGTCTATTAGATCTATTAGATCATCATAAATTTTCTTACCAATTTTTCCAATCTGGGACAGCCCATAGATAAATGAATGAGGGTGGCATCCGTTATTAAAAGGCACTCTTCCAGGTCCATCTTTTCTAATAATCTGCAATTCTGAAAAACGAAACAAATGTATCGATTAATAATATTACTTATGCGTTTTAAATTATATAACAGATATAATTTTACAAACGATCAACTCACTTTTGCAAGAGCTTGAAAGCCTGCATCGGTGAAATGAGTGCAAGCCACACATTCGAGCACGCTAAGGAGTGGACAATGTTGTGCTAACGTGACCAGAGACGCATCCGTAAGATTTGGACAATTCGATAGGCAAACGTAATGCAATCTTGGACATTGTTCGCTGAGTTCTCTGACCGCATCGTCTGTTATGTTCTGCAACGAATCTGTTTTCATAAACCGCGCTCTCAGATAGACGATAGTTACATAACTACACATCAGGTTCAGCATCGGAAGAGGAAAAGAATTTAGACGGATGTTCTAACGACAAATTATAGGATCTATTGCACGAGAAATTGCATACATTTCGCAAACGTTCTTTACGACGCTCAACCCATAATTTTTTCCACTCGTATACTTGCCCGTATCGCGATGACTACTTACGATCAATCAGAATCGAGAATTAAATAGAAAAAAAATATTCTGACGATCGAAGCGACAAGCTTTGCCGGGCAAATCGTACGAATAGCGAAATCGTGTTAATTGATATTTGCAAGTACCCTGCATTCGTGTAAATTGATCGCCTCCAAATTGGTGCAATAACGAGCCAAACATGTGACACCTCTGTCCGTTAACTGACGGCATCCTTTGCATAGAAAGCTACGTAGTTGTCTGCAACCTCTCACCAGTGCTTCCACTCCGTTATCGGTAAGTAACTCACACCAGGACAGATTAATGTGAGTGAGAAGCGAACACCCTTTCGAGAGGTTCTTCATGGAGATGTCCGATATCTCGGGACACGAGTCCAAGTTCAGTCGTTGGAGTTTCGGACAATAAGAGCTTAGGGCCGCGCAGGTAGCGTCCGAGATCTTTTTACATTGGCTCAGATTCAGTTCCTCGATGTTAGTACACGACTCAGCCAATGTGAGCATTGAATTGTTCCCAATGCTCTGACATCCCCTGAGAGAGAGCTGCCTTAAAAAGCCACCGCATCGTCTCGATATATTTACTATAACTGATTCCTGTGTTTCGAACATTTTTTCACAATTAGAGCTTCCAACGAACGAACGAGATAACGAGAGAATGATATTTCTTCGGGCGAATGACGCGTTGCTTACCATGATAAAAATATTATTCTCGAAATCTCTCTAATGTTTAGATACTTAGGGAATTAATTGGTGAATAGAATCGAATACGTTATACTAAATTTGAGAGAGCGATAGAGAAAATTGGTAAGCAAAACGTCAAAAATTCGATTTACCTCCACGTCTCGTTGGAAATCGAAGAGATCGATTCTTTGCCAATTGGATCCGTCGAGCGCCAACACGTTCCAAGCTTTGCTTACTTGCGCGCACCGGCATAGTGATACCACGTCGAGATACGAGAAGATTCTGTCAATAGTATGACAATTATGTTACTCGTTTTACCGTTCTTTTCGAAAAAAAAGACACACGTCAAGACCACCATCAGAAGAGAAAAACTAATAGTAACAAAAAAATAAATAAATAAATAAATAAATAGATAAAAAGAGAAAAGTGAATTGAAGCGACAAAAGAGAAGAGGGTAAGCAAAATAGATCGATTAAAATACTTTTTGCGGAAAAATCGAAAACAGAGTAAGTATATACATATTACGATACCTAAGCAGTAATTCTTTTGGCAGTTTCTTATTAATCTGCGCCTCGTCGTCGTGAAACACCCACGTTAGCTGTAACCAAAAAAAAAAAGAAACAAACCCGGATGAATTCGTTCCAAAAAAGGGGCAAAGATTGTATATGTCGGAAATCTAATAAAAGATCAGACAAGCTGTCCAGTTTGCCGTTATGTGAACACGATTATGGTGTTCGAAGGACACAAGAGCGCTTAGCCGATGATAACGCGAAGCGAGAACAAAGTGACATGCGTGACATTACAAGTTGACCAACCTGCATATAAGACTGCTTCATGGTTGTGACAGGGTTGTTGTGAGAGAGCGATTGCGACGTATAATAACCGGCCTGATGATGATAATGGTGATGATGTTGGTGATGATGATGATGATGATACGATGGATGCTGTTGCCTCCACCATTGACCACTTGCACCGGAATCTTCAACCGCTTGTACCCCTTGCCCAACCTGGCCCCCTCCTCCCACGCCCACGCGACTTACTTTTTTCTAGAAAAACGATCATCATCATCGGTCACGGATGTGCGAAAACTTTTTACCATAGACCATAATAAAAACCTACTATTATGATTGTGAATCCATTAATGTTTAAAAATCTTTTTAGTTAAAAAAAAAAAAAAGAAATATAGAAAATATATATATATATATATCTTCTTCTTTTCTTTTCTTCGTCCTCAGCTTTTTCAAAACTTTTTTCCTTCTTCTATATTAAAATTCTTACAATCCCATTCTCTTGAATAATAATACCTCAACGGTTTCGCCGAAGTATAAATCGGAGTAGTGCAATGAACCGTTGGTTGATCGATTTTCCAGGCATGGTTAATAAATAGTTAATTGCACAGAAACGCGAGTTAAAAATATTGCCTTTATTCCGATTTCTATGATGGTATATCTCGAAAGACGTGAAGCATTCGTGAAATCAACGCGATCAGCTTATCGATTTCTCTATAAATACTGTTTTGCAGTTCTTATTAATGTGAGTAAGAAAAAAAGAAAGAAATAACCTCGATTGGTTAAATGGGAATCCTTTTCGATTCAGGAACGGATACACTCTTGACTCGATAACAACTTCGTTTAACGTTCCAGAAAGCAATATCGAGGGATGAAACGAAGGAAAAAATCGATCCCAATGATCGAAGACAGTGCAACAGTTATCCGATGCAATTTCATTGGTTTCTCTCGTCAATGTGCTCGATAAATTACGGAAATGTTCATCGAATTTTCAATGGATTCGCGAAATCGCACTCAACGTTTAAGAGGCCGCGTTTTTCGCATGGCATCGATGATGCTATCAAAAAATTCAGAAACGGGAATTTTGTATTTTATGAAATCGTCAAAAATTGAAAGAAGCGGAGAAACGCGCGATTTTTCAAAGTTTTCGAACGATACAAAAATAATTAAACTCGAAGAAGAAAATTTTTTCGTCGCGCAATGGGAGATATATAATAGAAACGAGGCATACCTGAAATTTTAGTCTATGTTATGTTCGTCCCAGTTTATATAAATAATATCGTGCAACAACGAAAATACTTTGAAGTTCGATCACCTATCATATCACTCCTACACGTGACCTTCGATGACCTTGCAAAGCAGGTCACCGAACTCGTCTCAACACCTCAGATTAAATAAAGATGTGAAGATTTCTTACTTGCGAACTTATTTTCAATGATTTTTTTTTTCGCACGCGATTAATTCTCCATCATCGTTCCAACCATGTGAAAATACATTTAAAAATTTCAAAATGATCGTATCGATCGCCGTCATAGAAATTCGATCGATCAATCAATCGACAATCTATATATAAAATCATTCGCCAATACAGTTATCCAATGAAATTTTCTCCCGAAATCATTTTTTCGTTGAGAAATACATATTGCGTAATCTGATATGAACATCGTATCGATTATCGCGGTGTTTACACGCACGATCACATTATTCTTCCTACTTCTCAATGGATAAATATCTCTTTTTAATGAAACAGAACAGTGTTTCTTCTGGTGATGTTTATTCCCGTTTTCGAGAGAAAGTCGAGCACGAAATGCATCAGGGGTCGATGAATTTATAACGATTTCTCATGCACTACGGCGAGATCGATGCAATTAACGCGATCATTGCGTCAAATAGCGCGCATAATAATACGCGATTTAATAACGACGCGTGTTTATTATCTAAATGCGAAATACTCAACCAGATTTTAAGAGTATTAGATACAATGATATTAAAGTTTTTCAAATTTACACGAATTATCGAATTCATAACGTATATATGTTTCAAATTGTTAAAATTGAATGTGATAAATATTAAAAAAAAAATAATAATAATAATAATAATTTCTATGAATTTATCACGAGAAAAATATTATAGATGAATTATTAAATAAAAAAATACGGCTAGGATTACGAAAAAACGCAGGTGAACTAATATCTCTGATCCGCAACGCGCGCCGTTTCTGTTTACATACGAGTCACGTTTGCCAGCTAGATACAGTACTGGACCACCAGTTTCCCTCCAAATCAACAAGATTGAAAACAACGCTTTTGCAGCAATCGAGTAATTATATATGTGATGACTATTTTCTGCGAAATGAAAGATGAACGATGATATAGAACGTGATAGAAGACGATGCGAATTCGATCCGCGTCGATCTGCGAAACTTCGTCGCGAAACAAGGATCAGTGAGCGTAGAAGCACCCACATAAATGAGACGTTGAACAGATGGGGAGAAGGGTAGGAGAGGAAGAAATGGAAGGGTGGAAGGGATGTGTAAAAGAGAAGTGGGGAGACGGAGAATGACAAAGAAACAAGAGAAGAGAAACGAGATAAAAAGTATGAATTCGAAAAGAGTCGATTTTTCGTGACAATCGTTCAACTGTTCGACTGTTTGACCGATGAGAAGGACAATGCTCATTGACATTCTAATAACGCGTAACGATCGTCGTGTGAGTAAGAGGGATACAATGTAGAGAGAGAAAAAGAGACGGAAACATAGAAATGAAATAAGACAAAGAAAAGAGAAACAGGGTATGAGAGAGACAGGTACAAATAGATAAGTTAAAGTGAGAAAGCGAAAGAAGGGGAAAACAGAAAGAGAGAGAGAGAGAGAGAGAGAGAGAGAGAGACAGACAGAGAGAGAGAGGAGGAGGGACACGTACC